GAGAGCATTCAAGTTGGTAGATATTCACAGGCGAGCCGAATTGAAGTAGTAAAAGTTGTGGTTGTGAGGAGACAGTATACTTCGGCTGCAATGAATGATCTTTATACCGCATTCAACAGATGCTGAGTTACTTTTTCCCTGTTGTTCCCAGGAAACTGCAGTGTTATGAGACAGCGGCTGTTTTGAAGCCCAATTGTAGCGGAAGATTTCTCCTTGGAGTTAGAGAATGAACTATATATGGAGATCAAATTGGAAAGTAAATATTTTTCCACTGAATCTTACTGTATTCTAAAAAGATTTTATTAGCCAGGTGAAGTGTTTTTTTCTTTCCGAAAGGCGTTAAGATACATGTGTAATTATCATCGAATTCAATGGAATCATCACACAGGACAACATTCATTTATTCACTCACTCAGTTAAAATATGCGGTTAATTCACTACAAGGTATCCACTGAAATAAGTCATATAGAGATATTCAACAACAGAGATAAGGGTTTCGCTGATCAATAAAATTCAAAGTATTGTATAATATTCAGGTCATAAAGAATCTGAGACAGAGACACAGTTTGTATTCACATATCACTCATACAGGCTTTCGATAAATTTTTCCTCAGTAATCAACAAAAGTGATCCAGCTTCGAATCTCAGAAGGGGCGAGAAATTCTTCACTACTGCAGATAGGTCATGTTGACAAGTGCCAACAAGCATGGAAACTACCTTCATGGCTTATTACTGATTGACTCCAACTATCTAACTTAAGTTCAGAGGACGCTGCGATGACATGATACCTAGCATATTTACCACATTGCAAACTTGAATGATGGGAATGAGTCTTCACAAGATGAAGGGTTAGTTGCATGGCATTATTAACTACTTAGTGACCAATCAAAGCATCCATTACAGTCCTACAAGAGGTCAACTGCCAGCACGAATAGCTCAACTACGACCCAGTTTAAATCTTAGACGGAACATGATTTCCTCCGAGACTTCGGATTCGCCCCACTGACGATTATCAAGAAGCAGTAAACCGAGGTCCAGAACTTTCTACCGATTGTTTTCAGCTATCTAACATCAGTTCTTCATGTATTTATCATCACTGGTATACAGGTGTTATTTCATTTTCCTACAAAATAATGGTAATGACTTTAGTATGGAAGGATAACTGACTATCTTTTTTCTGCCTTGAATGTCAATTGAACTCATTCTTAGTGGTTACTAACTGAATATGGAGTTAAGAGGATTTTACTGACAATAACCATTGATAATTTTTTTTAATTCATATTTTGTTCTTATTGTTATACAGGTCTCAATTGTTTTATAAACAATGTTTGTGAAAATGACGTGCCATTCAATGTTTAGAAATCGATGTTAAAATAACTTTATTCATTCAAAGTACATTCCAGTATTTCAGATCACTTGCTATTCAGTTATTATGAATGTTAAACTGTAGAACAAAAGTTGTACATTTCACAAAGAGTGATTAAAATGATGTGAAACACTGAGTTTCTGGACTTTAAACGTGCAGAAAACAAAACGCTCTAATTTATTTTGATGCTTGGAGTTGAGAAAAAACAAGTTCTGTTCGGGGCAATAATTGATTTCACAACAACACAGGAATTGATTGACAGTGACACAACACGAGAACTGATTCAGCACTATGGAGTGCTTCTGATTTTTACCAACCTCATTTAACAGCTATACGATGACTCCGAATACTAGGCGATTCACAAGGTAAAGCTCAGCAATACCCTTATTAATTGAGGAAAATAAGAAAACGATTATTATTGTATTATTGTTCCCATGGGTTCCGAGTTGGTAGCTCGCTGTTAGGACACTGGTCAACCAAGTTAAGTGGTCCGTGGTTCTATCCCCGGTCGACGTACTCCTTTGCGCCGCTTAGCCAGTTGTAAGCCCAGTAAAGATGGAAGGCTGGGCATGAGACTAGCAACACCACTCCCCCGTGAACGTAAGACCACTGCTACTGGAACTTCAAAGCTCCAGCTTAAAGGCCTATGTTCCACTGGGAACTCAAAGAATGAAATAACAGATGATAAAAATAAGAATAATGGGTTCCGAGTGGAACATTGGCCTCAACAACGCATCTCCGCTTTGTTCTATTTACTGTTGTTCTGCCTAGCTGTGTGCACGATTGCACAATAACATGGTTTGTATTATATAGTGATAATATCTTCCAATTTCACTTAGGTTCTAATTATTCATCACAAAAAGAGCATTATTTCCCCACTATGTTAAGGCAAATTACAAAGCCATGACCAAAGTTAATTTCTGTAAACTTAGAACAGTGATAATTAGATGATTTTTAAGTTGACTGCTGCTTCCGACAAATTCTTCAGAAACCAGAACTACGCATATGCAGGGCACTAAGGATAAGCTATCAGTAATGGCTGCATCGATTTGTGCATACAAATTCAGCTGCTCCTGCAGGGCTAGTTATATAAGTAGTTTGCAGAGGAATTCATCTTTACTCTCTTATTAACTTGTCCCTCTTTGTCTTGAAAAAAGAGTAACTAAATCAATAAACAGTGCAATTTTATCGCATCAGTGGGATAGTGAACACTACATCAAAGTAGATGAGCCCCTTACAGTTGTTTATCGACTACCAAACAACCTGTCTAAAGGCATGCGAATACGTCTCCTAGCCATAAGGGAAGCTATAGCAATTATTAAGAAGACACTTGACCTATATGTGCAAAATCAGCACGATGATACTCTTTGTTTATCCTGGTCTACCATCAGTTCATCAGAGATGTAGTCATCTCATATTATCACGTCCTTCTTATTCCTTTTCACCTACTTTATTTCACTCTATTATTACCTTTACTATGTGTCAACCGTTGTAATTTACAATAAGCTTATAATGTCTTCAGTTTGTTATTACAGTTCACAGTTTAACCTCTTTATTGTATCATTTCACCTGCTATCTGTCACTCCTTGAACTTGCATTCAGTGTTCCCCAGCTCTTGATATTTGGTTGTGTTTATTTTGCGGGAATCACATTTTCAAGTGTTGGTTTCGAGGGACTTGATTGATAACGGCTTTTGTCACGAGTTGACATCAATCAAACAACCACTGAAAAACCTCGGAGTAATAGTCACCTCTTTTGTCCTAGTTTGGGACCCTTCATCATTACAAAATCGCTGAGTTTTGAATACATGACCCTTAATTACATGGTGGGCTGGTAAACCATTAAGTCACTAAGACCCGATCCAGTAGATCATGAGTTCCAACTCCTGTCAATTCAAGATATACATATATATATATATATATATATACATGTAGCACAACCACTAACCACTGCCATAGAAGAGTTACTGACTCAGGTTACTGGGTCTGTTCCTGGTGGCTTAATGGTTTAGCAGGTCGCCTTGTAATTGGAAAGTCCTGGATTCAAAACTCAGTGAGTGCCTCCTGATGAAGAGTTCCAATTTAGGACAAAATGGGCATTCAGTACTGCGAGGTATTTTAATCGTCCTCCAACTGATGTCAAGCAGTCACGAAGGCTGTGATCATATTTCCCTCAAAACCACTGAATTTAATTAACTCATCACTGCAATGAAACCTATATTCTGCTAATTATACATACACTAATATGTCACCCAGTTGCCTATTTGCATTTCACTTCCTACTCTGATTGCTTGAACATTTTATATACGATATAACTGACGATGTCAACCTTCGGACTATCATTCCATCTTATACATGTAACCCAATGCAGTTTCTGATATAATTTCTATTTGTGTTTACTGGCTTTTTGTATTCTATTATTCCTAGTGCCTGAAGAAATTACTGAAAACGATCGTTCGCTCAAAAATCCTCTTGTTCTGATTGCACTTTGGAGATATTAAATTTACTGAAATCTTGACAGTGAAACTAGATTTATTCTCACGGTATGGACTCAGAATATTTTCTTCTATGGTAGTTTAGCTGTCACACATGTGCTCAAGAACAACAATAATTATACGCATTTAACCAAAGCTACTTTATTATTCTAAGGATTACCAGATTATAGCAGAATGTATTATTGTCATAACGAAATATGTTCATGATTGTAGGTATAAAGAATCCCAGTTGGATAAGTCAAATATTTATGCATAAATAGAGTTTAAATAGGAATGAGAATGGGACTACTCTTATTTTTGAATTCTGAGGCGTGAAATGGCAATATGTAGTTGGGTGGATATCTCACCTACTGTGATAATCAGTAGAGTCCTTGATCTCCTGGTGTTCGAATACTGCCCTCTTTAATGAGATTCGGATGACATCGTATTAAAGACTGAAACTTTTGGTTGAGAATAATTTTCGTTGGTTGCATAACTCCACTAAATGCAATGCTTAGTTGCATAAGGTGGTATAACATATTCGTCTGAACTGATCAAGTTGTTAATCTAAACTATATCAATCCTACAAATACTCAGTTCTTTCAACTCCTAATAATTTAACAACCTACATAATTTCAGACATATGGTACTCTTAGGTCTAATCAATTACTCCTTGTCATCGTGAGGAAAGTACATCCAAACCCTTAATATAATTCATGTTCCTTATATTCTTCAAGAATTCTCGAAATAATAAAAGATGAGCTGAAATTATTCTGGTACACTTTTAGTTCTTGGTTTGTTCATGTCTTCTAACAAATTTCCTGAAAATATTCGCTGAGTTTAGATTCATTTAATTTCACAAGGATATTTAAATTGAGTTAGCTCTACACTTGCTTCAGATGTAATCACCGACTAAAATCATTTGGAGAGCCATCAAGAACTACGGAGTACTGGACAAACGTGTCATCCTAGCTTGGGTTATTGAATCAGGTTGTGGAGGCTGAAGCTTGCTTCTTAACCGGAGAGTTCCGGTTTCGAAACCCATTTGGTGCGTTGCGATAACGACTCTCAAACTAGGAAGAAACAACTCTCTCTCCTACTCTCGAGTTTTCAATGATTCTCTAAGTGACATAAATTCATGATCAAAACTAAGGTCATATTTGCTGGAACTTTATTCAATGTTTACACTTTCAGCCCTGAATTCAAACTTTTTCATTCCTATTAAAGTAAAAAAATTAAAAACATCATTGAATTTGTTTATTTCGCTACATGCCTACGATTTATCTCATGAATTTCATTGGCTATTGCTTCCACTGCCATGTATACTGATGAGAACAGAAAAAGCATTTCTATCCAAATGCAGAAGGCTCGAAATATTATTGTACAATAAAATTCATTGAATGAGATGCAAAAACGGAGTCTGTTTATTGTTAGGAAAATGACCTGAATTGCGTTAGAAAATCAAACAATATAGAATGAATCAATTAATTCATGTAATGATGGCAATTCATTGTTGAGTGACACAAAAGACAAAACTGTTCACCACTCCTATTATAGCAAAGGCACAAGTAACACAATTCATAATTTGACGATAATCAACACCTGTTTTATGATTCGTCGGTCACTAACTCAACTTGTGTCAAACACCATGAAAACGAAACCTGAATCTATAAGTACTAACTGTGATTGCCAGACAGGCATATTCGTGTATTATGCACTGGCTGCATATGGGATATTTATAAAGCTGTTGAAATTCCGTAGGTACTCAAAATATTTATTACTCAACCAAATGCTAAGTCACTATATACTAAATATAAGTGGCTTCAGTTATTGCCTTCTTGTTTATAGTGACATCACCAAAGCGCCATTGCGCATTTAAAGTAAGTATGGAGTCGTAGAAATCTCTTGCCTTGAATTTATCTCTACAAAGAAAAAAGACTTCTCCTGATTTTATTTGACTATGATATGATGGTAATTTATAACTGTTTGGTGACACCATCATGATTGCAACGAATTTAGACTTCTTCCTCTTATCTACATAAAATCTGCTGTTGTTGACATTCAGCCTTCGGCAGATTCAATCACAAGACTGTATTCTACTTGTATTTTCGAAATGGTTTACTCAGTGATGCCGAATTATTTTGTAATCCAGACGGATAAACAAATTTTAAATATGACACATATGTGATAATAAGTGAGATTATTTAAAACGAAGGTGTTAAATGAAGACACCATTGGCAAACTTACCAACATCGTGAATATAATCATACAAAGGGCAACGGCAAGTTCCAGAGCGAACTGAAAAATTCATAAATACAGAAGGTGATTCGTTGATGTAAGAATATCATTTGTCACCATATATTGAGTGATATTATATTATTTTTTAACTTATCGTCCATAATTGTTGTATAGAAATGCTTACCGAACTTTCGGATTTTATGTCAATCACTTACTCATTTCACATAATCCGATTTTATTGGTACTTATATAATTGCCCTCCCTCATCTTGAAACTACTCTAGTCCTATTGTATATGTCACGTATGAATTCAATGATAAAATATTCGAATTGAAAACATTTATTTCCCAATATGAATTTAAAACAAGCAACAAAGGTTAATAAAGCAGGATTGAATCAATTCATCGAATTTCAGTGGAACTCGTCAGCTGAATACTCTACATACACGGATATACATATACTAGTGAAATTACATTGGAAAATATGAGTGATAAGTAAATGAACTACATTGAATTAGTTATGTAGAAAGACAGGTGCGAATGTTTTCCAGGTCACGTTCAAATAGATAAGGGCAGAGGGAGCATCGGAGATTAAAATTAAGGTAAAATGTATTACACTTCAATTACATCACTTAAATAAAGAATTAGTCATTAGATAATATACCAAGAATTGCAAATAGAGTAATATGAAAAGTAATAGTTATGACAATAACAACAATAATAATACTTGTGCTGAAGTGAGTTAAGATAATGCTACTGATAAAAGATAGTTTTAAATGAATCAAGAATAACATTAACAAAAATAATAAGAGGTAGAATAATAAGTGAAACGTATTACTGTGGTAGATTCAGAGTGACGACCATCTCCTTTTGTACACAGAGATCTAATCTATAAACTCGAATTGCACCAATCTCTTCTTTCACATTTCTGTATTAACGTTTAGAAGAGGAGCTATGTACCATTATTGTGTGACTGTGTAATAATGCAGGCTTTAGGATTACTGAATTCCGACCCACTTCAGTCTTATTGTCTGGCCACTCCAAAGTATTTTTTGGATTATTTTGTCTTTAAAGGAAAATTAGAGTAATTGAGTGTAAAAGCTTTTCCCTGAACGAATTTGTAGGTTTATGTGGCACTATAGCAACTGGTTTATTATAGATTCGAATATCCATTTTTCTGCGTAGTAGCGCTGCAGGTGCTTTAAATTCTTTTTTATTTATCTTACTGAAACTTCTGTAACCCACTCTTCCTTTATTTCGTTTATTTCACCAGTTAGCTCTTTAAAGTATTCCTTACAGCTATTACTTGGTTTGTTGAATATTTAGCTAATCCACTCCTAACAGATAATGCATAAGATGACTTAAATTGTAAATACCGATTAAAATGTGTTAGGTTTTGATAAACACTAGTGTAAAGTTGACCTTCTCCAATTGGTTTTATTTTAAAATTTAACGTAGATAGTTCTCCTTCTTCATCTTCTGGATGAAACGCAAGTTTCACTGCCTCCACTAATGCGTTTATATTTGTGAAGAAACCGCTGATGTTCTATCCTGAGTAGGGCAAAAATATCTCCCAGTTATCACCAAATCATATCGATCTAGGAATAAACGGACTAAAATCTGTCTTCCCCTCTGGAAATAAGTGATCCAATTTCCTCTCATTATGTTTGTCTAATTATTTTTCCCTGGAAACTGAGGACTGTAGATACAGGATGTTACTGAATTCCTCAAGTAATTTCCTCGCTCGTATAGCTCATTTTCATGAGTGGGCTCAGCTCATTTTCTGACTACTTCACAACCATTTCTGATTCGTATATTAAAAGAAAGGTTAGTTATGTTGAAATTAACCATTTCTTCAATATTGGTTTGTAGGGATTTAACTGATTGGTTACAGAATTTTGATCATGAGCTGACATTGATTAGAGAACCATCGGAAAACGTGGGAGTACTGGACAGCTGTTTCAACCTGGATTAGGACTCTTCAGCAGTACGCAATCAGCCTCATGTTTCGAACCGAGGACCTTCCGATTACAAGACGACTAGGCTCATGGTTCAAACCCTGGTGGTGGGTGCGTACTGCGAAGAGTCCTAAACTGGGCTAACGAAAAAGCTGTCCACAACTCCCAGCTTGTTTTCCAATGGTTCTCTAAGGAATGTCAGCTTATGATGAAATCTTGTAACTAACCATTTTTTCATTATTTTCTGTTAACACGTCAGTCAACCACTTTTGTGTTTCATATAGATCAGTTAATCCAGCTTTTGAAGGATTTCTGTTTAGGCATAGTTTAAGCACTCAGTGTCTGGATAACTCATAAAATATGGCTTGCACATCTTGGTGTATATTCTATGGATATAATAAGTTTCGGGCCTTTGAATGAAACCATTCAGTCTTACCCAGAAATGGCTTCATTTTGGCACGATAAACCCCTCTGAGAATTCTTAGTCCTTTATGTCACTGTATCTATGATGTGAAGGCTTAATTTGTTTAGACTCATGACAACTATTCACAATTTTGTAATCATAAATACCAAGAGACGTAAGAATCCTGCTCTCCTAACATCCCTGATGAAACTTATAGGAATATCTTTAACCCAGTGAACGAATACAAGCGTTAGCGTTCTCATATGCAAGTAAAGTACTACAGTACTGATAGTAAAAATATCCTTGCAAACTCACCTTATCAATTTTAAGGAGTTCAACCAAGAATATAATGATTCCAACGCCTGCCAAAACACACGATACGATGAGGATAATTAAAGTATACTGGAACTTCAAATTTCTGAGTAGTAAAGCCAATACAATCATGAAGCCAGTAATCACTATTGTTACACAGCAGGATATGAGGGCGTAAATCCAATCGATACCCTGAAACTTGGCAGCGAAGCCCATCGCGATCAAAATAAACTAAAAATCAACGGAATATTGTATTTTAAGATTACTGCAGTCAAGCATATATTTACACACACACATGGACACACACCAATACGCGTGTTTATGTCATGGAGTTTGTAGTAAGTCTATCGCATATTGACTTACCCAATTTGCTTCATTACCCACTACTCTACAACGCTATTACTGTGATAGGTCAGATTCGTCGTGTTGTAAACAGTGAGATATCCATACTGAAGCAGGGAAATTCTTGGTTAGTACATAGTTTGGAAGGGTGATGCAAACTGGGCTTCTGATGGTAAGTTGAAAAGCTTCACTACAAAGATTACACTTTGGGTGGGTTCGACAAACAAGGTCGAACAGTTAATTAAGACCAAAGTGCAAGACGTGATGAAATAACGAATGATTACGGCTTAGCGGTTAAAAGTAAATGTATGAAACATCTATGCGGCAGGTTGAGGCAAGTAGGCAAGAAGATGGAAATATCCATAAATGTAAAATTAACTGTAGTCGATTGAAAGAAAACGATAGTGATGTCAAATCTTTGCGTGAAAACGTTCACACTATTTGAACGTGTTCACTGTTATGATCAGCAGAAGAGAGTGTGAATACGATTTGAAGATATATGACCTGACTTTCTAAGAAATGGCCACATGGAGATGACAAAATAACCTTCAGCAAGAAGTCAAACAATCAGAAGACGTTGCTTCACAAGTGTAGATACTCATGTGTCACTTACAATTTATGCGACCTGTATCAGTTCATTCGGAACAAGGTATGCGCAAAGCAGGTACAACTTTATATTCTAAATAAGATATGTGATGACGACTTCAGAGAGCGGGTCTATTGAACCACTCGAAAATGGGGAGTTAGGGTTGACTACACTCATATCGCCGTTTTATTATATGTTACTATTTTATAATATGAGCTTGAGTATCAATGCAAGTATTATAATTCAATAAAAATGGGTCACTGTATCTGGACCTTGTAAATCAAAAATATCGAGCTGCCCTTGTAACTTCGGGTTCGTGCTGAAGATTCTCGAAAGAAGTTAGGTTTCAATGCTACTCTGTCCCATGTAAATTACAGTAATTACTGAGATGAAGTGTAGAAGTAGACAAAAGTACTCACGCTCAGTGATATCAGCAGATGATCAATCATACGGGGATATCTGAACCTCTTCAGAAGTAAGAGAAGTAGAATCGGTAACAATCCGATAAATCTGAAAACAAACATTTAATAGGTTAATATAATGATTTCCATTTCTATGTATAGGTAGTCATACAGTTTACTGCAAAATAGAGAGTATTATGCAATCGTAGAACATACTCTTTGCCAACTAACCTCCTTCGGAATGAAAGCATGTTACCGGTTAGTCCAGAGTTAAATTATGACTGACCACAAGTGTCACGAATTATCTTGTACTGACTCCTATCAATTCGTATTAACTGTATCAGTGAGGAAGTGGCCAATCGATGAAAGTATTCTCATGGCTGGATGAATCACCGCTACTGGTTGATGCGTATGGCATCCAATTATTGTCTGTCTGTTTTCGACATAGAACTTTGCACATGTGTGCGGCAGTTCACTTCACCACACTCCATACGGCACACAAAGCAAGAGAAGAAGGTAGAAGAAATGCATTATAGAGACAGTAAACAGAGGTGTGAGACAAAGGAATATTAGTAACGAGGAACAAAACAGTTTCATAGGAAATCAAAGTCACAAGGAGTGGATGCATCTGCACCACTGAGAACGATTTTGAGACATATCACCAATCGTTTCCAATCATTGGTTTTTACCGTCCCGAGGACCCCAACCAGCCAGCCAGGAAGTCTACACCTTCCTACGTGGCTTAGACTGGCTCTTGTAGATTTCATTGACTGGTGAATCCATGTTTTGGTTTGACCGCCGCTGGCTCTTTTCCAGCCTGACCCTATATCAGCTAACACTGCCGGTCGAGGAAGGCAATGACTAGGCATACGTAACACATGTCCTAACCATCTCAGTCTATGTAACTTCACGACTTCGTCGATTGATTTCCTCTGTTTACCTAGAACTCAACGCCTAACTTCAATATTGCTCACCTTATTATACCACTTCACACGGGAGATAGAGCGCAGGCAGCTATGATCAAGGACAGCTAATCTTTTCATGTCTTCCACTCTCTTCAATTAATAATATCAGTCAGCAACTTATTAGTATATAGCGTGAAGAATTTATGTTTACTTGCTTGACCTTCATCAATGGTATCAAGCAGGTAACATATTCTGATCTGAATATTCTCGTTTTTTCGCAGAAACTTTGCTAAATTTAACGTAGAACTGCATAGATTGCAAATGGCGAATTCAATTTAAGGACAAGGGACTGTTTCACAGAATCGACAGTTTATAACTCAACAAAGTTTTCAAAAAAAGCTTGAAATTGAAATATCAGTGAAATCAACTCACATAAAAATATAGGACACAAAGTAGTGCTTTTCAATCCACTCACTGAGTCCACTTCTATTGAATAAATCATTATTCGTTTATAAGACTGAATTGCAAACGTACACAGTATTGACCATTATAACCATACCAAGTGTCACCAATAGCATCAAAAATGCGTCGACTAACATCTGTTTGAAATATTTTAGAAACGTACTTCATTCTCATACCCAAATGAAGAAGTTGAGAAATCGGTTGGATGTTTTATTCGCATACATTGGCTTCCAAGTGGCTAATGTTGAGATCTGATTTGACATTTGTCTTTCTATGGAAATAATCCATGAATTACGCAGAAAAATGAAAAATTTAAAAAGGTCACTTAATGTTATTATGAATGATAAGCAATGAATCTATGAGAAGTAATCTGTTCAACTTCAATTCGAACGCCTGAATGCCTAGAAAATATTCATTTGTCTACAGATTTAACACGTTATGAAATAATCCATATTCACAAGAATTTGTACAGCTCACGGTAATCCAGATTGAAGGGAACAATGCTGTGTTGCGTAAAGAACCGAATTCACTCATAAGACTTACTGCTGGATTTTTAACTTCTGTTAATATTATGTAAGATGCAGTAGCCTTGTAATGAAGAAAAGTGTTCGCTGACTGCATTTTGCATTATGCTTGACTATTTATATATGGCAGAATAGATACCTTTAAATCCCGCCATGTAATAAAGCTTGTCTCAGAGGCTCAACAATATTTTGAGACCAACAAACTGGGTTGTGAACTGCGTTACCTTTCGATTCATTTATGATCAACAGTCAGACAGTAAAATCACATTTGTCGTAACAGCAGATGCAAATAATAAAGAGTGGATGACGTGTTGTTGAGTATTGAAAAATAATTAAAATGAGATTAGTGTGTTGAAGACGCATATGTGTCACGCAACGATTGCATCAATCTAATGAGGGTAAGTGAAAGGAACTGAACGGATCTAAACTCTATGTCTGATTGCTCAGAAGAATCTGAAACATTTTCATTTTCATCAATGATCGATGTAATTCTTAGCATACATGAACTTGTGTGACAGCACGCTGATATGCATTGAGGACAATGTGGAAACCATACATTGGAGTTTTAGCTCTCGTAAAGTAATCGTAGTGGGATTACTCTATCTTCATTTCATGCTTTCCATATTGTCCCTTGAGGATCTCCATTTCCGGTCTTGCAAGTGAATTCATCACTTAGCTGTTCAATTTGCTACATAAAAATGTATGTCAATACCAGGCACCATATACACTCACCCCGTCGTGACGTCTGTAGCGCAGGCACTTAGACTCGTCTCATGTTGTCTGCACTTCTTCTCTCTTCGTACTAGCTTCTTTGTCCGGATACACATCCATCGTTGAAGTTTGTTAACATCACTGAGTGTCTGTTTGTCTCTTTTCCTGATAGTATAAACCATAATACGTCTCCCTTTGAAAGCATATAGTACCTCGTACATCGGTGCATTCAGACACTTTCCTCACTGTGTCAGTTTTTTTTATGTAAGGAGAATAAGACAGCTGAAAACTAAGTCAATTTCAGTGTATAGCTCACTCCAGACTTGTACATAATTAGAGATAAAGTCTAAAAGAAGGTCAGTGTATCCCACTTCTCATTGATGAGTGCTAATGGTTAAAGATTCTATCTGACATAAATACAGATTAGGCATTGTTATCTCCCAGTAATAGACAACTGTTGGGAAGAAGTCGATTAATTACTGAAATCTACCCTACAACAGGAATACACAACACCAACGATCTCATTTCTACAATTCAAACTCTGTGTCAGTAAGATTCCTTAGGATTATAACTGACTATCAAAACCGTCAAAAACACGGCACTTACACACTGCATACGATGTCATTAAAATTGCCACCCTTCTTACGCTACTTAAAAACATCTAGACAATATAGAATATACAAACGATTGTGATGAAAGTAGTATTGAAACTGCCATAAACAACTTACGAATCAGAGTTTTGCTATTCACATGTATCAGAGTCAATATCCCGTTTATATACTAATTGAAATTTCGATTAGCTAAACAATACATGAACTTTGATCATGACGAAATAGTAACAATTCAAAGAATTTTTCAATTTACCGAGTAACCACAAACAGTTCTCATGATATGACTTTATAAAGCGCACTATTTTTTTGTTCTCTTTGTTTACTTTAGGTTTTAATCACTAGGTACTCTATTGTAGAATTTTTTAGAAATCTTTGTGATAGCACGCGTAACGGCAACAATTAAAATTCATACAGGTGGTCAATCATGATTTCGAATACCTTAGTAGTAATGTTTCTGACTGCAGCACTGGGTGACGCGGGTTCAAATCACAGAGGAGACATGAATTACTTAAAGGTTGCAAGTATATTTTGCTGACGAGTGCCAACTAGTACGAGACCTAGACTGAAAGCTTCTTGCCGATTGCCCAGAAACAGCTTATATCATCAAATCAATGTGTACTGTGATGGCGAGCTACCACGAATGGTGGCCACATTGCGAAGCTGACTGACAGAATTCAGTCTGCATCCAAAAGGACTATACACATCACATTAGTTACTTGTTTCGATTCTGTTTTCCTTTTATGGTTTAAACTATGTCACAACCCTCGGTTACGGAGCACGGTTCCGCACACTTTGGAAACAGTTTCAGTGAACTACACTAACTTTCAAATGAATTTTTTTTCGACTTTTGTTTTACCTGATTGACTTCCGAACATAATGCATTTCTTATTTCCCGTCTTCTAGAATTTCACAGTGTCAGCCTTGTATTCGAGCAACACATATCTCATCACTCGCTTCATTTCAGTTTCCCATCACTTCGAAATTCACTGCTGAATTCATCAGGCCGTGTTTAGTACTGCAAGTCCTGTGACATCCTGTTTTTTCCACGAATCAAAACTTGATATATTGTTGAGATCGATGGAAACTTTCTTCGTCCATTACTTCTCGTTAAATCCATCCTCTGCCTCATCATACACTTAATTTTATCATTCAAGATTTGTGGACGATAGGGTATTATTGTAAACCTCTTAATATCAGGATGTTTCAAGGAAGAGGTGAATACTTCCCGTTTCATCAACAGAACGAAAGTGGCACACAGGTGTGATTTTAAACTGCCATAGCCAACATTAATCACTCTCACTACACTTCTATGAGCTATCTGGTGATATTATCGTGACAACGTTTGGAGAAAACGCTGACATTTTCACCAGAAAACACTATTCAACATGCTATCAAAGGCAAAGTAAAGTTTCAGTCTAATTCGATCTTTTCAGCTGAGTAATGCGATTAGCTTCATATTTATCGCAGTTTGTTTATATAAATACCATTAGTTACAAGTCTAGGGTAGGACTTTTAAAAGCGGGTAAGTCATTATGAATCTCATTCTAAAGCACTTAGACGTTATACAGTTTCACGCAAGTGAACTTTGTCTTTGATGTGAATGTGGAAAAATGGGATGCAAAGACCACATGCACGAAGTTCACCCTCTGTTTTCAACCACTTCAAACACTTGTTTTCTGGGTAGGTCAGATCATTTACGTCAGGTCCACAGTATCGTAAAAACACTTCTTTCAGCTGTTGAGTAACTGAATTTATTGATGCACTAATTCTTTAAAGGTTATAGAAGAAGTCACTTGACATAAGTGCTGAAAGTGTGAGTCACAATCTTTATGCCAAGTGATGAAAATCTTCACATAGGTTTAAGTACAATTAAAGTCTGTCTCATTTTTCGAATCCTATCCTTGACATCCTTATCTGCCTGTATTTGAAATGATGCTTCCTGGATACGTGAGAGAAAATTCTGGGCTATTATAAACCGGGCAGACCCAGCAGAATAGAAGAAACTATTTAACAGAAAGGTACAAACATTAATAGACAAGATAATATATGTTACCATTAACATTTTAATTGGCGAAATGATTGGCAAACAAGAAACCTCAAAGATATTTTATGGCTGGGAGGTAATTTACAGTTGATTCCCTTTATGACTGTTTCAAAAGTGTTCGAAATAATCAAGTGAGATAGTATGGCCTCTATTTTCTGCCTGTATTGTATCACAGAACTCAGAGTGTGTTTCA